TACCGTACTACTTACCAGGTGGGTCCTGCGTCGGGCTGTGATTGCCACAAGGTCAGTGATTCGAACCCACCAGCCGCTCCTCGGGCGCTTTCTCCCCTCAAGGATGTAGAGCCACAGACACCCCCAGGGACACCGGTCTACTCTGTCCCAAAGGGTTGCTTTGAGCCAGAATGGCCTCCGTGGCAGTGAGCTTTTGTTGATCGTAGCGCTTACAATCATCTGAATATCGTGTTCTATTCTTGCTGAGGTCATTTACTATCAGGTCACGATTAACCATGTAGGTGCATTAATTATCAGTTCTTGATAACCAACATAGGTGAAAATGTTTTATTTCGATTTTAAAATATCACAAACTCACTTTATTTCTCTGACACACACACACACACACACAAGGTCCAACAGTGACACAAAATGTCAGTGTTGATGCCACAGACAAGGCACAGAAACAAGTGGGCAGGTGACTCCCACGAAGCAGACACATGACCCCTTTTTGTCCCATTGTTTCTAGTCGTTTGTTCTTTTTCCCACAAGGAAAATTCTCAAGGTGTAGTGTCTAAAACCCTTGCTGATAAAGTGGCTTTTCTATTAAGCCCAGTTAAGAGAAAACGTGTGCCCTTTCAGCCTTCCAGGCGGAATGGGTCAGACAGTGTGAATCTCGCGTCCAGACCTACCAACAAAAGGTAACAAGACTTCTATCTAAACTCTTGAATGTTCTCCATCGCATCTTCCTGGCCTCTGCCTGTAGCTGGCCCTTTTTCGTTCTACTTCGTATCCCCAAATGCAGTAATGATGTCAGATATTTCCCTTCTAAATAGCTGCCCCCCCCCCCACCTTGGTGCTAACACCGAATACATTTGTGATTTGGCTGAGAAAAAAACTGTTACGAAATGGAAACATTTTTCTCCCCCAAACTTTCCCCCTTCCCATTGTGGTTCTGAGGGCCATGGAGTTGATGGTCAGAGCAGACGTGGCCAGAGGGTGTCCGAAGCTGTCATCTTCACGGAAGAGCTCTCCATCCATCCTGCTCCTTCGCATCCAGCTCACGAAAGGAAATGCTCTGAAACGCTGCCGGTGCTTGGCTGGCGGAGCAGCCATAGCATTTGTCTTCATAGCCTCGTCACACGGATGAGATGTATCAAGTCCAAGCCTGTTCTCATCAGCTCCGAAGAGAAGCAATCAGATGCCAGTCCCACCAACACTGTAGAACTGGAAAGAACCCTAGGCAGACACTGTGAAGGTCTGGCTCAGTAACCTGGTCACTTGACTACATCCATTCCTCACTTACCATCTGTCTCATTATCTGTCAGTTCACCTTACGACCACAGGAAAAAAAATCTATCCAACGATAGATTCTGCACATTAACAATGTATGTCTGCCACTAATGAATGCCAAGTGTCAGGGGAAGCTAATACTAGCTGGGATGCCCGTGTCAACTTGTCAGAGCAGACTTCAGTTTTACACAATGAGGTAATGTGCCTGTTAGGAGATGTTGTGGGCACCCTCCACTTTGTGATCTGATGTGATCATCCTCCCTTTTCACAGAACACCTTTTTGTACCACTCCCCAGTCTTTGGAACCTACCCGTGTTGGTAAGTGAGGAGTGGGTAGAGAGGCAAAGCATTTTGCCTTTTCAACCTCAGTTACAGTCTGTATCACGAGACGACAACATCCACCCTGCTGATATCGCAGGGACTGTTAGGCGGCTAAGAGGAGACGTGTACGTGAAAGAGATCTGTAAATGGTCGTATACAATAAAAACCACGCAAGCAGTAGTGCCATTCTGATCACATTCAAGCTGCTGCTGCAAGTAGCTCCACATTGCCCTCACTCCACTCTGATGTCAAAAGCCCCTCTGGGATCAGCTTCAGGGATCAGCTTCCTCACGTGGAGGAAAAAACTAGGCTTTTTTTTTCATTTAGCATTGTAACCGTTACAGCGAGTTTCAATTTCAACATCTAAAACCAATACCAAACTTCTGCAAGATTTGAGGAGCACTCCAATGTGGCTTTGGAAGAACACAGAGCAGATCTGGCTGTTTTATAACACATTTTATTAGTCTTGTCCATTTCCCTTTGGGTCTTAAGGTGGAATCAGATGTCGATCAGCTTGGCTGAGAATGAATGCGCACAGCCATCTATTTTTGCTACTTCCCTCATGGCTCTTTCATGACCCAACTTCTGCTCAGAATGGCATCAAGGGAATAAGAAAATGACCAGTAACTCGTTTTCCAATCCGATTGTCACAATAGATCCCTAATGTAGGAATGGAAACATCTAGAACAAGCTCCTGGGGAGTGCTCCTCTGTTTCCTTAGAGTTTTCCGACCACTGGACCCTCGTGGGCCAGTGTCACAGCCAGACTGGGGCTGGGGGTGGGGGTGGGGCACTTCCCTACCTCCGGTCCTCACCAAAACACCTGGAGAAAAGCACTGCAAAGCCGAGTGCGGCCTCGGCATCGCTGGTTGGGACTGTTCCTGCTACGTGCCTCGGAATTGGTTTGACTAATAGCGACTGATGCACAATGAAAAAACACTGCAGGTCCTGCACCATGCCCACAATTGTTATGTCTGAGCCCATTGCTGCCACATCATTACAGCATTTCCCAGACAGATCTCACGGGCATCCTTTGAACTGCACGCTAAGGGTACAAATCTTGGCCCCAGACCAAGGCAAGACCCAACGATGCATGTTGAACAGCAGCAATTAAGTAATTCTGTACGTTTAGGCAATTATAGTAAACAACTGACCCAGCAGCAAAGTTCTGCAGCCTGGGAGTCTCATGACCTATGTAAGCTGTGACTTGGAGAATGGCAGGAGTGGTTTTCCACCTATTAACACAACAATGGGATGACAAGAATATCTGCTACTTCAGCCTCTCTGGAAGGCTGGCTGCCTAAGGTCTAGGCAGAGTGCTTATTGGAAGTTGCTGTAGACTATTTAAAAATATTTACAGGTATAGCCAGGTACGTTCAGCACAGTGACTCTGGCTTGAGTGGCAGTGCCTTCCTGGCCCACGTGTAGTCTGGTACCAGGCACAGAGGGAGGTTCCTCGATGAAAGCGGGCAGCAACACTCAAAGCCACAGACTTGAGCGCCCAGAGAGCTAATTCAGAGCGCCCAGTGAGCGTGCTTGGTGGACCAGTTGACACACATCACTGTCCCCATGGCCCAGGCACCCAGCTTCCCAGTGAGTCTGCTCTCCGCCTAAAGCAGCAGCACATTCACCAGGGGCCACCTCCCACCTCCACACCCAGCCTCCCTCCTCCAGCTCCTCTGACTCAGCTTTGACTCACACCCCTGCAGCTCTGCACCGGCCCTCCGCCTCTGCCTCTCACCTTTCCACATCCTAATTCACCTCTTCCAAGTTTCTGATTTTTCAGATCATGGTGATGAATGGACACACACAGCACTTAGATATCAACGAATTCCCATTTAAAAGAAAGAAAAAACAAACTCTTCTGCCTCTAGGTCCACAGCACTATTTCATACTATGGGTATACAACTTCCTAATTCTTTTTTGAGCATGTCGTTTCCCCCATTAAACCATAGGCTGTCAGTGGGCAGGGACCATATCACAGATAAGACTTATTTTGTACCCCAAGAAAACCTGGAAAGGAAGCGGCGGTGGGCCTTTCCTAAGCAAGACACAGGATTTAAGGGTGAAGCAGCTACGGGACATGCAGAGAAGGCAGGGGTACTGATAGTGGCCATCTTTGCTTATACTTTTCTACCTGGCCTTCTTTCTACCTACCCAGAAATGACTCCTCTCTCTCACCCGGGGAGCCTAGATGTCTGAGTGATCCCCGCAGCCCTCCAGAGGACAACCTGGTCCTGACTCATGGCTTATTCCAGTCACCTATGATCATCTCTGTATTTTTTCTTGTCTGCAGTTTTGTCATCTCTGGAATTGCAGGTTTCCAACTATAATAACTCTTCCCCGTGGCTCCTCTCAACCCTCCCTCAAATCATACATGCCCCCTGCTAATAAAAGCAGTATTTTTGGTCTCTGCAGCTGGTGTTAGGGGCTCTTTGGTGGTGAGAAGCCTGACACAGTGCTTAATTTAAAGAGATAATCGCTACCGCAGCATTCTCCTCAGTTGCCTGAACAAGTGAAACCCCAAAGCTGGTGACTAAGGAATGGTGTTTTTACCATCTTTTCCATCTGAATTATGGCCCAAGCAAACAGGCAACACTTAGGCTTTCTGAGGTCAGAGCCCAGCAAATCCCGAGCTCAGCACCAGTGTTATGGCTTGTGTCTTCCAGCCCTTGGGAGAACGAGCACTGGACTTAGCTGTCCTGGTTCTTCGGGGACAGGTCAAAGCCACGGCCAGGTCCTTTGATAGGCCACTCTCCCAGCGATGAGGCCAACGCATCCCTGTGATCCTCACCCAGCCTCTTCTGTATTGCACCATACAAGCAGGGCCTTTTTCGAGACGCCATTAAGTACACTAGATACTAATGCACTAGACCTCTGTAAAGAGGGCCTGTGTCCAGGCAGGGGGTTCTGAAGAGGGTAAGTGTAGGCCACGGCTTTACCATGGATCCACAGGTAGGGAATGGACCGCTGCTGGGAGAATGCGATAGCAAGATCCAGCATCACGGTCTTCCAGTGATCATCGTTGAAGTTCTACCTCAACCATATGTCCATCTTAACGGTGCAGGTGGAAAGTCTTAGCAACGTCTGTCAAAGAAAGTGGAGGTTGTGAGATACCCAGGACTGGCCGGAGCCAAGCATTCAGGGCTGAATATGGAGACAAGAGGGGAAAGCTTTGTTCCAGAAGGAAAATGACCATCTGAGTGCGCCAACTTCTTACGCCTCACGTAGGAATCAACTAATTGGGCTGGGCTCAGCTAGGCAGTTCTTCTGTCCTGGCCAAGCTCACTGCAATCAGGCGGGAATTGATAGGCTACCAACCAAACCAAACTCAATGCTATTAAGTCTATTTTGACTCATTGTGACCCTATAGGGCAGGGCAGAATTGCTCTCTAGGGTTTGTGAGGCTGTAAATCTTTATGGGAACAAAAAGCCTCATCTCTCTCTCCTATAGAGTGGCTGGTGGGGTTGAACCTGTAACCCTGCAGTGAGCAGCGCAATGTGGAACTTCCTGCACCCCTGGGGGTCCTGTGATGGGTTACGAGTTTGGTGGAAAGGGTGACGAGCATTTTCTTTCTCATAGGCAGCAGAATAGGCCAGCCTTGTTCACTCGGTGCTGGTGGCAATGCTCCTGAGAACAGCGAGAGGCCAGGCCCATTCAAGTCTCTGCTTACGTCATGTTTGTTGTTCCTTTGACCAAATCAAGTCCCACGGCCAACCCCAGTCAGCCAGACTCCACCTCCTGAGAAGTTCTTTCAGAGTTTGTGGCTGTTTTCATAATCCATACAGATGACAAAGCCCAGAGAGGTCTAGCTTTGGGATGTAGGCAAAATCTAGGATGTAGGCAAGGGTAGGGGTGGAGAATGCTCCTTCCTGAGAAAGCAGTGTCTCTCATGTCCCAAAAGCATCTCATGCGGAAACCTGGTCAAGCCAAGAGATGGAAGCACCACATCTTGGTGGCCTGGAGTGGCAGGTGTGGATGTGCAGAAGCACAGCAGCAGAGCACAGACCAGAGAAGACTGAGTAGGATTTGTGGGAGAAAGGGCTCACGGTCAAATATCATGAGACCATACGCTAGTTTTCTCTTGAATGCTTTCTCATTCTTCTCTATTCTGTGAGACTGCTTTCTTCTCTTTCCTTCCCTTCTCCCTCTTCTCTTTCATGTGTATACTTCAAGAATTGGTCAAAAGGCACCGGATGACATCCCAATCAGAGGGTGGCGGGAGGGTGGCACCAACCGTGGCAAGTCCAGGAGAGGGGACTAGGAGGAGAGCCCTTAATGGCCACCACTCAGACGTTGACATGTACAACAAAAGTAGGAAAAGCAGCTTAGGGTGTCAGAATGGAAAGGTAAACACCGCTCTGATGGCTTTTCAAAAAGGCTGACTCTCTTTTGTTTTGTCACAGCCACCCAAGAATTGTCACTCAGAGAACAGCAGAGGCAACGTTATTTCTGTGACTGTCCTGCAGGTCACTGTCACTGAGCTCAACAAAAGCCTTCTGATTTTAGTGTAACGACAGCCATTGACTGGGGAAGTGAGGGGGATAAAAGGTCTATTTGGCCTCAAGGCTCTCTTCCGTTATCAGCCGAAGGTCGTCTTGTCAAGGTAGTCACAGGTTCTTCTGCTCGAAGCACAGCACAGGAGGTGTGGTAAAGCGTCGTGTAGGGAAACCGGTGCAGATTAGCAATCCAGATTTAGCTCGGCTTTGGAGTAGAAAAAGGAGTTCTGGTTCGGCTAAGGACAGAGATTGGGCAGGAGACACCCTGTGGGTGAGAAACTGTCTGTGGGAACATTCTCACTTGGCGGTTTTTCTCGGTAAGTTTCCCAAGCGAGTTTGATGGACACTGAGATTTAGAATCAGCCCTCCTTCAAGGCTGCCTCCCATCCCTTGCCGAAGCAGATGATCAGCAAATCTTCCGGTGGTGGCCAGAGTCGGTGCTGGGCCCGCTGGCTCTTGGATTTGTGGCGTGTCCTTGTAGTCTCCTTCTGGTTTCTAGTCATCCCCAGAGATGTCTTGCAAACAAACATCAGACCACAAGGGACATCCTGGTTGGAAAGTCATTCTGAGGAAGAGCAGAAAGAGCCCAGCATTAAACCACAGACTGGATTAAAGAAAGCGGCCTCCGTAACCTGCTCAGAGCCTCGCACACCCCGACCCGGAAGGCGTTTCAGAGGCCTTGGATTATGGGTCAGTATGCCTCGATTGGCGCCGAAGCTAACATCAACCCGACTCAACTTAGTCATTTCATGGTCACAGACCTACTCCCTCTTCTTAGGGGCCACTACACCATCGCAGTGCCACAGGCAAGGAGTGTGGACGGCCTTCCATAAACCTACTCCCAGCTCGCCAGAAAGGTCCTTCCCTGCTCAAATACCTCCGTCATCACAATGTTCTACGTAAGGAATAACAAAGCACCCTTCATTGTTTTGGAGGGGTTAATTTTGATGTGGCTGTTAAGTGCTGCTCAGTCGATTTACACTCATGGCAACCTTATGTACAACACGGCTCGGTCCTGTGACCCCCTCACAACTGTGCTGATGTTTGAGCCCACTGGTGCCGCCACTGTGTCAATCCATCTGGCAGCTTATCTTCTATGACAAATCTTTTTCTGTTCACGGTCCCCTGGCCTCACGGGACACTGAGAAGGATGTCTGCCGTGCAGTCACAGAAACGCAAAGGCAAAAGCAAACAAAGAGAAGCGGGAGAGGCTGGGTAGCCGAGGAGAAGGTAAAGTCCCCCCTGGAGCACAGGGTCCAGAGACACCTTGGCGACCTGCAGCGGACATCTGTGACACTTCTCTGGCCTCCAGAGCACACATGTGGCGGGCAGAGGGATAGAGTGGACATGTTTCTAAAAGGCAGTTTACAAAACAATGAAATGAGCAGGGATCAAAAGGTTTCCTTCACATAATTAGGGTGCAGTCACCGTGCACACTCTGTGAAAGTGCCAAAGGATAAAAGAAGTGAGCAGTCCTTCAGAAATAGCACTGGCTCGTGACCTCTGCGTGGAGGGCTCTTTTGGGAACTGGATGCAAGTGACAAACTCATCTCATGGGGTAATGCACACAGAACACGCACAGGAAAGTTGCCACTGATCTGGGCAGCCCTTCGGTAGTGGGAGTACCTAGAGTCTCTGAAGCCTGGAGTGATACATGCTTTTGGAAGCTGGTCTTTCGGCCGTTACCCACTATGCTCTACAACGCCATCCACACCTCTACCATCTCCTTTCTGTGCACTTCTCAGTCCTCCGGGGTCCCATGTTTCTTACTTCACCTGGCCCTAGATACAAAACTCAACAACTCATGGCCATCAAGTCAAGGCGGACTCCGAGCGCCTCTAAAGGACCAGGTGGCACTGCCCGTGTCGGTTTCCGAGGCTGTCCCTCTTCATGGGAGTACAAAGCCTCGTCTTTCCTCCCCGGAGGGGCTGGTGGTTTCGAACAGCCGACCTTGAAGGTCATCAAGACCATGCGGCCGGGGCTCATCAGCTCTAAAACAAAACCGTTGCCAAATTCTCCCAAAGCACGATGCGCAGGCCCTGACCCATCAGGTACTCCCCCCACCCGCCCCAGCCCCGGGCTACTCTGCTCTCCTGCCTTTGCCCCTCCCCAGCCCAGCCGGCGCCCCTGCCTGGTGCTTCCCAGCTCAGCCCACTTGGAGGAGGAGCGCCAGACACGGCCTCACAGTTTTCTTGGCGGGCTCCTTTTTCCTCCTCTTCTCCGAGTGGCTGGGGAAGGGCAGGTCGCGGCTGCGGTAGGACGGGCCCCGGCTCAGCTCGAGCTCGCTGTAGGGCGGCAGCGCGTCGTCGGGCGCGTCGTCGTCGTCCTCGTCGCCCGGCGGCCCGGCCGCCGCCTTGT